TACATTTCTCAGCTTTGTTATACAGTATATCATTATCTAACAGAGAATACCACAAAAAGGAAATCCCCAATGAATGTTTCTATACCAACCAGCTCATATGACTTGTAACCACAATGAAAAAACATTATTATATTGAAATGCTCCATACTAAATAGTATGTACTTAATGTCTGTATATTATTGTTTGTTTGTGTACAGGGATTTATTTGCTTTTGAATTCCCATCTGATCATTAGCAGTGCAATAGTGGCCTGTCACAGGGGAAATACTTTTTTCCAGTTGAAATACGTTGACACTCTCTGTTGTGGTAGCAGAGCTCCTGTCTTTGTTTGCTTAATTAATACTTTGTTGTGGGCTGTTACAATTAATTGTTATTGCAATTAGAGTGTTGGTTGGAAATGCTATAGCGACGGAGGCCCTCAGCGAGAGACAATTAACACCACAGTGCGTCCGTGATTCATTAGACAAGAACACACTCGTCTGGGAAAGTGACTTAAGATCTTCAAATCAAATGCAGAAGTGGAGCCTTTGGGGCAAAGTTATGGTTAAGATGGTGGAAGGAAGCAGAAGTAGTTGTGCTCGTGAGATAAAAAACCCAACCGAAAATACATCTTAAGCCTCTGCGAGAGAAAATGCTGCAATACTTCTAAAAAGACAGCATTTTGGTGATATTCGTGATGTGGCAGTCAAAATTCAAATCAGGATTAAAAAGACACTCCGAGATTGCTCGCTTGGGGGGCTTGAGATTTAGAAGGAATTTAAGGTTGGTGCACCGCTTCTTCCTCTAGGCCAAACTGCTCAACACACGATGGACATGAAGCAACTTGTTTAAACCCTTAAAGTTGCTGTAAGTAATATTTTTTTTGTTAGAATAGGTGTTAAATAGCTATGCAATCAGTGACCACCATCAGTGATATAAAGGCCTTTGCATACTGGGGGGGTCGTCAATCTATTTTTGTTCTTTTTGTCATGAGTACTTTCAGACAGAATGCGAATATTACTCGACAAAAAAGCGTCAAATTGTTTTGATGCAACATATTTACAGGTTAGTATTTTGCACTTTGTGTCATTTATTTGTCATGTCCCCGGCATGTACAGGCCTTAAGAGTGTTTAGTCAGTATCAGTCTACCGTTTCCTCCTTTCCGCAGTAAACGGAGAATAAATGTTCCTGTATTAATCCAATCAGGAGAGAAAATTCCACAAAGAGGCAGTCCTCAAGGGCAGGCAGCAAAATTTAAATTTGGGGAGGAAGGAGGGGACTGCAAAGACAGACAAGAAGTAAGCCAAAATGCAGATTTCCCTGACAGCACAACACAGGTTTCTGCCACATTTCAAAGCTATCTCCCAGTGCCTTCCTAATTTTGTTGTTTCTCCCCAGGTAATTTGAATGTCCCTCAAACATTATAACGAACAGTCTTCATACATAAAGTTGGAAATCACCCAAATTGCCAGATCATCTATGAAACACAGTACACACACAATCCATGCACTACTTCCAATCAACCCATCTGTCACCCCCGTCTGTCACCTCTACCTGGCAACCCACAATTCAAGGGGGTGTCCACATGATATAAAAAACCTCATTTGATCATGATGTTACTCTACAGTTCTGCAGTTTATTAGTGAAGAGTTGGAACTACACTGCAGACTGGGTCTCTGTTAACAGTACAACTACTCCTAATAATAATAATTATAACAATAATATATAGTCCCCGAGCTTTGGGCAGCCAAAAATAACACAAGAACTTAGCAAAAGCAGTTGGATTTGATTGTAGTTGTGAAATAATGTATTAGTGGGCTCCTTCCCTCAGTGCAGGTACTCTGTCGTCCATAATCTGCAATCAAGTACAACGCACACAGAAGACTATACATTCTGGAAATTCTTTATTAGGAGTCTCGATCAGTAAATCGATGACAGATACAGACAACATATTGCATGTGTTAATGTGTAAAAACACACTGGAGAGCTCAGTACTTATGAACAACCAAGTGGACTACAGAAAAGACAACCTTGTAGTAGATGACAAAAGAAGAGTAAGAATAGCAAAGAAACCTCCTTTACAACTGTCCCACTCGTGTCAAGAACATGTTCGAGGGTGTAGGTGGAGACGTGTCAAAGGCAGTTTTTCCACAAGCGAAGCATAGCCGGCTTTAATCGCACCGTGCTGCTGCGAGGCCGTGAATACGTGCGTTTCCTAAAGCAGCCTCACAGCAGGGGAGAACCATTCACCTATACTGTACAGACTCAAACACCCGAGACGCAACAGGACGGCAATTTAACCAAGAAAAATATGCCTTTGCCCCCCACCAGTACCCAAAAGACCTCCAGCAGTTTGACGTGGGCAAGTTAAGGAGGGTTCAGTCCTTTGAACGACAAACTGGTGAAAAAAACGGAAGCACATTGTTGTTTTCTGCTCCATTCACTATGCTGATCGTCACGCTCAACAGCTTTCCAACTTTCTACGCTTTAATTACCATGGCAACGGGAGAAAATAATTGCTAAATTGGAGCTCAAGAAAAGAGAGGCCAGGTGACAGTTTGGGTCACGCCCTGCATGTAATAATAGTGATTATGCTTGTTTGTTAAGATTAGCTATAGTGTGACTATATTAAATAATTTAAGGTCCCCTCCAGACATGTATTACGACATGTATACAGATAGTCTCCTTGGAACAATAATGTGTGTCT